AGAGACAGAGACAGAGAGAGACAGAGAGAGACAGAGAGAGACAGAGACACAGAGAGAGACAGACACAGAGAGACAGAGAGACAGAGAACTTGGGAAGGTTAAATTGTGAGGAGTAATTTTTAGAGCTAAAGATCAAAATGAGACAAACCCTAACTCAAAGCTGGTAGGTCTGAATGTAAACAAGTGTGGCTTAAAGACAATAACATCAGCAAGCAGGAAGACACCACGCGGGTTCTCTCCTTCTACTTTGTAAAACTTACGGCCACCGGGTTTTATCCTTCAGGGAGCTTTTCCTAGAGCTGTCCCCTTCGCTGGGGCTGTCCTCCTCCTCTGCCTCCAGACTTCGACTGCAGCTCCTGATGATTTGAAAGATGCTGCTGACAGTGGATTCTTTCTCGGAATTCTTTAGGCCATTTTGTCCTACTCGTTGCAAGAAATTGTCTTGTCCACTGTAATCTGCTACAAACTACAGGAAAATACATGGAGAAATAGTGATGGCCACTTAGTAGGTCTGCATAACCTACTTGGCTGGGAAAACAAAATCATAAAAGCAATCGATCACAAGCATTGTGCCTTGTTGATTGAAAAGAAAACAAGAATCTCCAGGAAAAAATTTTTTTTCACTTCACCAGGTGAAATATCAAAACGTACACTTGTTTTCACTGAAATAATTTTAGTCCTCTAGGAATCAACACTGCACTTAGAATTAAAAAACACAAAGAAGCTATATTATTTTGGGGCTCCCTGGGGAAAATCTTAGCCACTTTACAGGGGAAGGGCCCAGCTATTTCATTCGTGTGGTGAGAACTGAGAAAAAACAGAATAAACGTATCCAACCCGAAGCCGCAAGATGAAATGACTGGAGCCCCGTGAGAGGTCAAGAGAAAGGTAACTTTTGCTTTGCTGTCCTCGTGTACTGCTCGGGGAGACCAGGGCCGCGGGGCAGTTGCTAAACTCTTTCTCAGGGCCTGAGGACTCTCGGGCGGGCGGGGAAGGCTGCATTAAGCTTCTGTTTCATTTCTTCTACTTTCATTCCAGCTGCTAAGTCCAAGAGACTGTAGCCAGCGGTGCCGCCCCTACTTGCCTGGGGCTCAGCTCGCCCTGTTAGGGGGACGCCTACGTTTGCAGGAGTCACGGAGACGCCTGACGTCTCAGGTGAGTCTCTCTGCTCTGGGAAAGTGGCACGACACGTGCGTGGGAAAGACCAGCCAGAGGGGCCGGGGAGATGGCTCAGTGGAATAAGCGCTTCCCTGGCAAGCGCAAGGCCTGAGTTCGAGCCCCGGTTGGACCAGCCAGCCAGGAGGGGCTCCCCGCGGGAGGCCGGCCCTGGATGTGGGCGCGGGGCTTCTGAGTGTGGGGCTCCCTCCTTTCAGGCTAAGCACCGCTTAGTTAACATGCCCAGGCGAATCTCCTGGCATCTAGTTCGCATCCGGCAATGAGCCCCAGGGCTGCAGAACTGTGAGGAAGCTGCCTGCGCTCACGGAGAGCGCCCATGGCCGTGTGCGTCGCCGCAGGCCGGAGGGCGGACAGCTCAGGACAGCTCCTCGAGCGCTGCCTGCGGAAGGCCTCACCTCTAGGGTCTCTTCCTGGGAACTGTACCGCGGGCAGAGCTTCATGAGGCCGGGGGCGCCGTCCAGCGCTTCACACAGCTCTTTCAGGAACACCCCACAGAAGGGAACCACCCTGCAGCCAGGGATGTGCAGCGCCCGGGTCACCACCTTCTGGTACTCCGAGGAGGACTCGTGCTGAGCCATCGCGTCCTTCAGGCTCCTCATGGTCTCGATGTCAGACTGGTCCATGAACTGCCACATCTTCAGAACTTTTCTAGACCTGTTCCAAGTACACAGCATTGTTTTAGACTGAGGAGAATAGTGCTCTCACTCTCGCTCTCTGTCAGTAAATAGCTTCAATTGCATACATATTCATTCTGATTATCTTCTAAGTGTTCTTTACTTGTTTATTTTCATTTTGTCTTTTGGCTGGCTCAGCCTGCCCTGAGGGTGGGCTGGCACGGCATGTGGTGCCTGGGATCCAATGGCGGCTCCTTGCGCCTGCCTAAGCTTGCCTAAGCAGGCTCTTTAGATCGCTGAGCTATCTCATCCGACCTGTTCTTTAGTCTTTAATAGTTACATAGGATTGGGCTGCGGAGATGGCTCGACCTGGGTTTGATCCCCAGTACCGTGTGCCATACCAGCCCCAAAACCAGGCATGGTGGCACATGCCTGCAATCCCAGCGCTGGGGAGGTCGAGACTGGAGGATCACTATGAGTCTGAGCTGTGTAGCAAAACCCTGTACCAAATGAATAAATAAATAAAAGATTACAAAATAATGATTACTTAGGATTTCTAGATACCCCTCAAATAATAATGTCTCTATAAACTGAAACTCAAAGTAAATAGGATAGATACAAAGAAACACAGGTAGATGGAATGAGACAATTATGGAAGCTGGACACTTAGTCTTGGCTTCAGCTTTTCTGGCAGCTCCTCCTCCTCCTC